CAAAAGTTACATTGCAGCTTGCAAGCCCTTAAAATGAGGTAGATGTTTTACTTCTGGCTTCATTAGCAACTGGTAATCCTGTGACCAACACTTTGTCCTTGAGTGGTGGGAGGGAGGAGACACAGGACCCACAAATTAAGCACTATATCTATGGACTATGAAGCTGCAATCTGGATACCTTAACATTTGTTCACATTAATAATGTAAAAAGATAAAACCAGGTACGCAATATTACTTTATTTAGAGCATTTAAAAGTTATTTACATTAAGTTAGAAAGGGAAGAAACTGTACATACAAAAATAAAACTCAAAGACATCATAATCTTCAGTTTGGAAACCAGATGACATTTCAGTCTAGATTATGACACCCATTGCATCACACACCTAAGAAACATAAAAAAGAGACAAGAAATGTATATACAAATAAGCTCCCTATAGTCAGAGCTAGTCAAATGTGATCAGTGGCATAAGGTTTGACATTCTGCAGTACAATTCATCGGCCAATAACCAAACATTTCCTGCAGGTGTATTCCTGCATTTTAGAAATATTCACTTGCAGTGAATTTTACATTCACTTTTATAAATATGCCCCCAAGTAAAAATACACAGCATTTAAAGGCAGATTTAGCTTTTGAGCACATATTTTTTTTAAAGCGGAGCTCCAGGCAGAAAAAACTCTCGTTTAAAATTTACACCTCCATGACCACGAAGCATTTAAATACAGTTTGTTTGCTCAAAATGGCTTTGCAACCCCAAATATCTTGTTAAAGTAGCAGTGACATCACTGTGCAGCACAAAGCCTATGCAGAGAAGAGCTGTGGGTGGGGCCCAGAAGGCCACATCCACTACAGGCTGCCTGAAGAAAACTACAGACGGGGTGGATACAAGACCAGTCACCCTGCAGAAAGCAAGCTTTGACCAGTCTTTATTACAAGGTCCTGTACAGAGGCAAAAGTAGAAACGCAGGCTTGGGTGAACTTTGTTTGCACATCGCTCGTAAAACCACCCCCCTCAACCACATTAACATGTGATCTAATTGGCCTTGGTAACCACTTCCTGACTGACCACAGAATGCAAGTAAAAGAAATCTCCCCAGTAGAGTCATGTCAAATGCTGCAAAAACTAAAATTAATGCAATGCTTTTTTATTTTTTTACTTCATAGTCTGTTCTACAGAGTATAGAAAAATGAACAAACGCAGCACTACTGCACCTTTAGTGCCGCCACCACATGAGAAAGACAGAAGCATAAAGACAAAGCATTGGTTTCATATAGTTTTATCAAGTGCTTGGTGAACAGTCAGCCAGTTCTATTCCTGGAGCAGCTCTGGCTGGCTCACATCAAATACAAAAAAAATTTTAACCTGCAAAAAGAAAAAAAAAAAAAAAAAAAAACTGTCCCAGAACCAGGACTACGCATCACAGGAGAAAGCAAGACAGATCTAACAGTATTTGTGCTCTCCAAAGATGCAGATCTACTTTTGTTGCTGGTAAAAGAAATCTGTAGAAAGAATATAGAAGAAGTTGTAATAGCTGGCCTCCCCTAAAAAAAGTAAAACACTATTTACTTGGCTGCCATGCCTTTCCAAAAGCTTTTAGCCATTGACTCAAAACTAGTGCCAAGTAGTTGACTTTCCAGTCTGCAAGCTTATTCCAGGTCATGGACTCAAGTATTTAAGTCAGACAATCACTTGGCACTCATAGGAGGCGGTCAGCAATATATTTCTCACACTACAGATTTCCATTGAAGCGCATAAATACAAAGGGGTGAATGTCCACAAAGGGGACACAAAGTGTATGGAAATCCAAAATGTGAGTCGCCATCATAGTGAGAAGGGAGAGAAAATCTTGAAATGACACCTGTTCCTAAAACACTAAGATGGGAGTTCTGCTGACTTTAGTGAGATCTAATTTCCTGTTGCATCTCCTGGACATGAAGTGTAGGAGGAAATCCCCAGCAGGACACGGACAGCAAAGATTAACTTGAGGTTTTAACTCTTCCATACTTAGGGGGGGTATCGGCTTTACATACACTTAGAAGGGTTAGCGAGCACCATTAAAGAGAATTCTAAAGGTGTCAAATGTATGTTTATTAACCCCTTCGTGACTGACGACGTACAGTGTACGTCGCCAGCATCGGTGCTGTTTAAACAGACTCCCGGCGACTTTTGCCGCCGGGACTCTGTTTAAACTTGTAGAGCCGACTGTCGGCTTTACAACAGAAGCGATCCTGGCGACTTACCTGTCGCCAGATCGCTTCTGCGTCCCGAAGAAGGGGCCGCCCCCCCCC